TTTCCTGTTCTGAAATTGTGCTGTGTTGTTCCTGCATTGATGCTGTTATTTCAATCTATACAGCCACATACATACTGCATAGGCCTGTCCCTTTTTATTTTTTTGTTTTGTTCCACTTGGATAAGACAATTCTACCTCCACGCATTTCATGTCCTCTATGTACATTTCCACTATATACCGTATTATCATTTATGTCCTGCCTCTCCCCCTCTCCTCACCCCTACTTCTTCTCTTCTCCATCTCCTGCCATGTGTGCCTGAAGAACATTTTGCTATTTTAGTTTCCTTTGCAAGGCCTAGCTCAGCTTTGCTTCTGGCAAATTTCCCTTTATGCCTACACTTCCTAACTTCTAAGATGTAGTTTTTCTTGATTAATCCTTTTTCTTCCATTCCTCCCAGTTCCTTTGCTTATTCCTAATATCCCCTTTGAAGTGGTTATTCACTGAGTTGGGTTTGGACCTCTTCCTTACAGAGTTTTATCCTCCGCATTCAAGTTCCAGACACTTTTTATACCCTTTGCTTAAATCCCAAGCCTGCCCAACATTCAAGCCCATGAAGCTGTCAAAGAGCAGGAAGGGTCAGACATAAGCTGCCCGTGCGTACCAGCTTTGGGCACGCGAGGGAATAAGGCTTCTCACTGGGTTCATGTTTTCTCTGTGCACACGTCCAGAACCGAAAGAGCGCTCAGAGATTGCTGATCGCAAGAGAATTTCCACTCGAATTACAGCCGCATACGCCTTGCCAAGGGAAGGCTGGAAGATCATTAGCTACAACTGTTCTCATAGAATAAAAAATTGTTACAGTAGATTAAAAATTAGCATGAAGAAATGAAGTATAATACATATATTTTTAAAGCCTCTGTAAGGCAGCCAAAACGAAAGCGGGCTTCACCAGACCACGAAAAATGAAGTGCGTGCGTTAGTCCTTGTAAGACTGGGGCTTATTTCCTTGTTAAATTCCAAGTTTCTAGTCTCTCCTGCTGAGGCAGAAGGGCTGTTCAAGAAAACTCCTACAGGGTCTTATGACAGCAAAGGAATACTTCTTTCTGTTTCTCACTGTGCACGTTTGCCCAAGTGGTCAGATAAAATGGAGTGACATATCCAGAAAATGTGGCTGCAATTACAACAACTGTTCCTACCATATGTGTAAACACTAATTTTTTGTTTTTGGAGAATCTAAATTAGTGATTCTCCGGATGACAAGGGTACAGCAGCTGCCCTGGTGCAGCGGTTGCTGCTATTTGCACAAAGGACATTTTGGACCCTTGGAGCGCCAGGCGCAAGGTGCAGACCGTGGTCCTGGGTAAGTGGGGGGCAGCAGCAGCCTCCGTCGCGCTCCCTATCGCATCAGCTTCCAGACGCTCCAGCGCAACAGCTTTAAACAACACAAAACCAGAAGATCATTTCAGCCAGCATTTCAGTTTTTATTGAAAAGCCTCTTGCAAACGGTCAACATTTGTCATTTGCAATGGCTGTTGTCAGGCAGCTTCAAGGTTTTTGAACGCTCAGAGTTGACAAAGGCCCTGCGCGAGTATTTTTGGAAAAACAGTAAATTCCTCGAAAGCAAAGCAACTTGGGTGGAAGACTGAGACGGGAAAACGAAGAGGAAGACAGAGGCAGTCAAACTAAAGCGGACATGCTGCAGCCCTCTGCTCGCAGGCAGCCCCGTGCCCTTCGAGGCGGCCTGAGGAGTTAAAATCACCGTGAAAGCGTTGTGGGCACGTTACGGCCTCTGGGCCTGGGGCCTTTTTTCCTCTTTTCCCGCCGGGGCGACGCGGGGCCGCC